TCTGAGAGCGTGTTCCTTTGGGCCAGCCTGTCTCCACTCACGAGGAAGTCGAGCCTGGGGATGTGGCTCTTCTCTGACGCGCGTATGGGAACGAGATCTTCTGGTGTTCTCATCAGAAGAAGCTGCCGATGCAGCAGGAGCGGCACCCGTTGGAGGTGCTTGAGGAGGCTCCTCTGCGATCCCAGATGGATCGCTCGATGGAGGCAGGTCTCCCTGCTGGGTGGAGCTCGGCGCAAGTGGCGCTTGTGCCGATGGTGATGATGATTCAGACTCATCAGGGTCGAAATCGACCTCTTCCTCACCAGTCACGTCCATCATGAGGATGGTGACGTCATCCTCATCTAACCCACAACCATCGCCTTCTACTTCTTCTGATGTCGAACTACCAATTATGATGGCCATTGGCGCATCTGGTAAAGGCAGGTTTCCCTGCATGGCCGGCGTCTGGGCGTCGCTCGGCTGTCCTGGAGTAGGAGGCACAGTCGTCGGCTCAGGGTCATCGACGAGCATAGGCTGCCTAGCAATGTTACGCATGGCCGTATGATTTGGCCTCATCCCCAGCTCCTGGAGATTCCATCCTGGCGGGGGAAGATCATGACCACGCATAGCCATTGCCATTTCCTGGGCACGACGCCATCCACCATGGGAGTATATCAAGTGTCTCTGCACTTCCTGAGGATTTATACTGTCAATGAGAGTCAAAGCTGCCAAGAGTAGCTCTGAGCTACCGCAAGCATCATTATCCTGTTCTGTCATAATACTAGCTTCAATTTGTTCTTGACTCTCAGGATATGCAATTGCAAGTATCTCATGCATCCACATGAGGGTCTGCAAAAGTGCACGCGGTCCATATTCGCCTGGAGCAAGCGAACCAGGAGGTATGAACGGAGAACCTGGTTCGCCTGCAATGAAGGCCTGAACAAATGCTTGAGACTCCATTTCAATTAAGTCTTCAATAGTATGGGGATATTCTCCCAGCAGAAAAGGCCTGTGTCCAGGCGGGATTTCGGGCGGAGGTTCGAGGTTCCGTTGAACCTCGGAGGGCGAAGCCTCTATAGTGGTGTCCTCGTCGTCGCCCTCGTAGGCCATGATGTTGCCTGGGTTCCCGAACATCCAGTCGAAGAAGGAAAGAGGCTCGTTTCCGAGCGTACCGTGTTCCACGGGAGTGAGTTCATTACTGCCCGTGACGAACCGGCGGACGTACTCGAGGTAATACGCGTATAATCCATGACCATACCCCTCGAGCTCGTCAACGTTGTCCATGCCAACGACCCATGTGAAAAATATCTGTTCCATCGCCTCAAAGTCCCGGAGGCTCAGATACTCAATGGATGGTGTGCTCGAGCCGAAATGGACTTCGGACGACATGCCCTTTCCATTCCCCTTCGCTGGACAATCTCGCACAAGATGATCGGTACTACCACATTCATGGCATTTGAGAACCTGGCCGTCTCTACCTCGCGGGTTTCCCCGCCTACCTTTACCTTTACCTGAGGTCTCTCTACGGCCTTTACCACGGCCTTTGCCCCCCAAGAATATCTCATCATGTTGTTCATCGGAGAGCCTCTGGAGAAATGCCGCGATACCTCGCCCGCTCAACCTCCGACGACCACGCTTGCCTTTGCCCTTTCCTTTAAAACTTCTACGTATCCTCCTTCTAACGCGACGAACTGGTTTTCGTGTGAACCTCCTCCACCTTCGCTTGGCCTGTTGTAACAGCCAGAATAAATGCTCAGCACGCTGATTGTCATTATCCATATTCATGATATCAGACCAATCTAGAGCTTCAACACCATCCGATGATATAGTGTCTGTATCAGTGCCGGAGTCGAAGTCTTCGTCTCCTAAATAGGTGGATACACCGTCGGTTAGGGGATTTGATTCCCCCCATAACGAGCGGTGTGGCTGAGGTTCTCTAGAAGGAGGGCTGGTTGCCCAGCTTGGTTGTGATCGATCCCCTGCTAGTAAAGCAGTGGCTTCTCCTGAATCGTCGGCCCATATGTTTGCGGGCCCGTTTCCAGGCTGGGCTTCAGTGGTTAAGGTAGTGTAGAAATTTACACTACCAGATCCCCTTCCTCTTCCAAACACGGATCCTATGTTGCCAGGATATCGTTCGGATAGGTGGCCTACCGAACGCATCCTCTCCAGCAACTCATCATACTGTTGTTGTGTTCGAGGCATTTGGTGATTGAGTGGCTGTAAGAGTTGCATGGCCTTCTGGCTGCCGACGCCCAGGGCGCGGAATAGGATAGTAGTTAACAGTTGGAAGTTGGGAAGGTCGAATCCCACCGACTGTGCCTCAAGTCGGGCCATTTCGAATCGGGTAAGAGTAACATCGATTCGTTCCCCGTGAGGCACATGGAAGTCAATAAGTTGTGTGCCGGAAGTGAGCTGTCGCTCATCTTCCAGGCGTTCGAATTTCATGCTGAGGAGAAACATGATATAAGTTACTGGGTCTGTGTGGACCCCGTCGATATCAGCACCATAGTTTATGATGTCAGGCGGTACCCTCATGGCGAGTGTCCTCGCTAGGCCTCCCAGGCCGCGTTGTATTGCGGCCGCTTGGGCCTGTGGCGTCATACGTCCGCTTGTAACGTTGAGCCACGCGTTGACCTCGTAAATGTACTCACGAAAAGGTACATTACCCTGAGGGTCCCAATATGGGCCATGTGTTTGCCCATCGGTGCTGTTATCTCCCCGACGCATGTGTGCGATTGCTGCCCCCAGCGCGAACCATATGATAGCGAAAACGATTAGCCCGAGAATGTGTAACGAAGGACGGTTATGATGAGCGGTGTCGCGCTGGGGTAGCGCCTTGTCGAGTCTTCGAGGCGCTCTGTCTGGCGGGTTTCCCCGCCCTTGCTTCAGGTATTGCGTTATTGGCTCGTTGCCGAGTGGTTGATAGTAACGCAATGATGAAGCGTATATGGTACCAATCTGGTCGTCTAGACGTCGTACCTCTCGTGTAGCTTCTTGCTCTTGAATAGATCCTCGTAAATGTACTGGGAGTGGTGGCGCAGGGTAGTAGGTGGTCACGAAGATCGTGCCGAAGAATGTGAGGCTGAGAAGAGCAAGAGCTGACCACACGAGAGTGCGGCCAGCTCCGCTACCAAGTCGAAAGTGAGCCTGGTAACTCAAATAGGGCATATAGCCTGGCAAATAGCATCCATCGCTCTGCTGTGAGGGTACAGTATGAGGGGTGGATGGGTAAGATAGGATAAGATCGATGTAATGATCTTTCCAGCACATAGCGAACACAAGCAGTGTCCGGGCAAATAGGGCGCGCGTGCCTTGAGCCCAAGGCAGCGGCGCGCGAGCTATGCTCCCGATACTATAACATTTCCCAAAGAGCTACCCTCAAAGTGGGGGGCCCTGGACGAAAAGTACCCCGGCCGATCCCCGGTCGGGTCCCGGGCGATCCCCAGGGGGGAAGCTATTTTTCACCACCCCTCACGAGGATCGTGGCCTCCGAGGGGGGGGCTGCAATCGACTACCCCCCCTCCCGCCCCAAGGGGCCCCCAAGAGCCCCCCAAGAGGCCCCAGGGAGCGCAATACGCCGCCAAGGAGCCCCAAGACGTTCCCAAGAAGCCCCCAAGAAGCCCCCAAGACGGCCCCAAGAGGCCCCAAATAGCGCTCCAGGGCCAGCGGAATGAGCGAAGCAATCAAATAATCTCCCAAGATGGCGAGAGGCCCACCAGACGGCCCCAAGAGAGGCCTGAGACAGCCGAAACAGGCCCCAGGAGAGCCCCAAGACGCTCCCACACCAGCTGCCCGCACTCCCCGGAAGTCCCGTATTCCTGGTCGGCGGGCTCAAGAAGGCTCCGCGAGACTGTCTCCAATTTCTCAACACTCTTCCTTGTAGGGCGACGAGATCTACACATATTCACTGCTCCCTGGCCAGGCCCATCCTGATCCCAATAACAGTGTATACGCCACGCCCTGCGCCCAGGAAGCGCCCAGCCAGAGGACAGTGGACATGGATAGATTTCATCGCGCGACCTTGTGCATGTACCTGCTCTCGGCCTTGGGAACTAGCCATGAAGGATGTCGTTGCGGACCACGTCGTGTTGGCCGTGGTGGCACCAAACTGCGCTATGCCAAAGCAACTTGCGTCCAACTCTTCGCATACGCATCCAACGCTGCACGTGTAACGAGTCAGCCATTGGCCTTACAAGAACTGGTCACGTTTTAAGCCACAAACTGAGCATTGGCCTCAAACGACCAAGCTGCCGCAAACCATCCGAGACCGCACACGCACCCAAATGCACAAACTGCGGACAACCCGTAGCTGGCGAGCTTTCCCGACGCATCCCAGCGTTCAAATCCACATGACCGTCAAACCATATAGAAGAATTACAAACTGGTGAGCGTTTTCTTATTCGGCGTTTCGACATTGGGCGGCAAGGGGGGGGAGGTGGGGGCTCTGGCTCCAGACCTCTGCTCAACGCGACTGTTTGCAACTGTGCGTCCTGTGGGGGAGACTCCACCCTGCCTGAAACAGGCGACAAAAACAGCCAAGATCCACTCCATGAGGGGGGCGGGAGGGGGATGCGAGGGCCCGCGCCGATCGGCAAAACACAGAATAAGAAAACGATCACCTGCACCTGCATAAACATACACACAAACATACACTGTGAGAAGTCCGCGCGGACTTCGTGGATCTGCGCTGAACCCCCTCCGTGGTGAGCGGAACGCGCTAGGGGTGGCGCCGGAGGCGCCGCCCAGGGTGGGGCCCAGCGCCGATCCGAGATATCCGCGCGGAGCTCCGAAAGTTTATGTTTACGCCGTTGTTCGGACGGAAACGATGCCATGGTAGGAGTGGCTCAGCATACGTTTCAGGATCTCCAGAGTATCTGGCTGCCCTCGTTTCTGCAGCCCGCATGGAACGTCAGGAAATCCTGGAGATCCTGGAACGTATCGTGATCACGACCTCTCGCTCCTCTGAGTTTCTTCTTCTCCGATGGTCGTCAAGGCAGCCACATGCCGGGGCGAGGGCGGTCCTTGTAGAGCTCCTGCAGGCCAGAGGCCACGCTCTCGTAGCTTCTCCTCCTGCGGCCGCCACAGGGCGCTCCGACGGCCGCCTGTCCAATGGCTGGGCCCTGTCTCCTTCTCGAAGTGCTCCCATGGGTTCCATAGGATTCTCCGCGGCACCACAGTTCGAGGCGCATACGAAGGGTGCGCGGTAAGGATGCAAAGGGCCTCGGAGGGCCATGCCGACACCTTTCGGGCGGGGCGCGGCCAGCGACAAGGTTGCCAAGGATGGGCCGACGGGGCAAGGATACAAGTGTACCCTTGGACCATGGAAGTTGATCACCCTTCCGAAACAATATGAAGTTTGTCAAAGGCTCCAGGGCAGGCAGCGCACAGCATAGCAAATGCTAGTTGCCCCAAGTTCCTAGTCCTGAGTTGCACCATGATAACATCGTTGCCCTTCTTGAGCTGAACTGGGTCAGCATAGCGTCCAATCTGGAGTCAGCACAGCGTCCACTCTGGAGCACGAGTATGGATTGATTAGGCTTTCCCGCCTGGCATTCTTTGCCTGATTGGAACTGCTGCCCTCCGTCCAGGGCGTCAGGTGACGAATGGGAAAGAGGAGTGGGGAGGTGAGGATTGGAAGGGGGTGGTGTGGCAGGGCAATCAGAATGAAGGGGCGTGGGCTTGAGACAGGAGAGCCCAGAATCCAATCGATAAGTCTGATCGGCGATCGAAATTAATCGGGTCGGCGGAAATCGGCAGCCGAGTCGGCAGAAGTCGGATCGGCGGAAATCGTCAAGCTAATGAGGCCTTCGTTGAGAAATCGGAATCCAAATCGAAATCCGCAATCGAATCGGATCAACATCGGAAGCCATCGAAATCGAACCGAATCGGAGGGGTCGAAACGAGCCCGGGAAACGGGGTGCAAGGCAATCATAATGAAGGGACTCGGGCTAGAGAGGCGCCCCTCCTCCCGCGGCCCCAGCTCAGCATGCCCATCCAGCCCTCGCTGCTCTTCGCAGGGGTCGGCCTGGACGGGGCCCAGATGCCCCCGTCATTTCCGGGCGCGGAGAGGAACTCATAAAGAGGCTCATCATGCTCATCCTCCTCTCCTCCTCACTCTCCTCCTCCTCCCCCCTCCTCCTCCTCCTCCTCCTCCTCCTCCTCCTCCTCCTCCTCCTCCTCCTCCTCCTCCTCCTCCTCCTCTTCCTCTTCCTCTTCCTCCTCCTCCATCTCCTCCTCCTTCTCCTCAACCTCCTCCTCCTACTCGTCCCCTCCTCCTCGTCCTCCTCCTCCTCCTCATCCTCATCCTCCCTCCTCCTCCTCCCTCCTCCTCGTCCTCCTCTTCACCCTCCTCCTCCTCTTCCTGCTCCTCCACTTCCTCCTCCTCTTCCTCCTCCTCTTCTTCTTCTTCTGCTTATTATTCTTAGTATCATCATTATTCCTGTTTTTCGGAATGCTCTTCTCAATATGATTACTCATGATATTAATGATACTATTACTATTATAATCATGATGATTCGCACTATCAGTACTAAAATTAATATTACTATCACTATTATGATCAGTAGTAGTATGCTTACTGATATTATTATTATTAGTATTCGTACTGTTGGTCTTATTACTATACTTGTTCTTCCTCCTCCTCCTCCTTCTCCTCCTGCCCCTTCCGCCCGTTCCGCCTCCTCCTCCTCCTCCTTGTCCTCCTCCTCCTCCTGCCCATCCTCCAACTCCTTTTCCTCCTCCCCCTTCTCATCCGTCTCCTCCTCCCCCTCCTCCGCCTCCACCTCTCCCTGCTCCCAGATGTCCTCGGGGAACAAACGGTGGCACAAACAGAAACTGTTGGCGGTCCGCGCGGGATTCTCGGATCGGCACTGGAGCCCGGTCCGCGAGCTAGGGAGTGGGGTCCAACGCCGATCCAAGAAATTCGCGCGGACCTCCTAAACTGTATGTTTATATCATTGTTGGTTCCCCGATGGTGATGCTGCAGACTGTGACCTGTGTTATCCGGCACAATGCTTCTGGAGGATTCTAGAGGGCCACGGGCTCTACGCTCACAGGTGCTTCCGCGGGTTCCTGAGGGCTCTCGGAACTTTCGACAGGCCATTGCAGGACTCGTGGCTTGGCACCCAGCCACGTACATGAATACGGCCCCCCAGTCCGCGAGACCAGCCGCGTGATACGAACGTTCGCGCAATGCGTACTCTCGAAACCAACGTGGATTCGTGCACGAGTACGTCCTTCTTTCGCTCTTGACTCGTAGACCTCCGTGTTCCCCCTTTCGCTCCCAGTTTACGTCAGAGGTCTCTTGGGCAGCCCTGGGAGCCTCGGGGCCGGCTCGTGAGCATCGCCCAAGAGGCTCCACAGAGGGCCTGGCTCCCATGGGGCCTCAAGAGGCCGAGTGGCCCCCAACAGGCCCCGCAGAGCCCCGCATCCCAGGAAGCTGCTGCCAGGTGGAGTTGCTCGACGGCGTGGCGCTGGACAGCGAGTGGCAGGCGAAGACGGACTCCATGGGCAGAGGCGAAGCGCTTGAGTTCACGAAGGGCGAGGCCGAGCTGGGTACGGACGCCGGCGCGGACAGCGACGCTTCGGTCAGGTGATGGGGTACGCCAGCATCGTGGTTGTTGGAGCTACAAGAGGCCCCGAAGAGCCCCGCAGCCCCGCTCGCTCCTGGGAGCCTACCGCAGAAGCCCTCCAGGAATTCAGCTAGGAACAACTTCTGGCCTTGGATCGAACCCAGTGGGCCTTGGCCCACATCCAGGCACGGTCGTGGCAAACCTTTCGGTAGCAATCTGTTGAACCCGTGATGCAACGCCCAACCCGAGCGCTCGAGAAAAAACGGCGGTCAGGGCCCCCCCTCCCTATCCCACTCGTCCCCTCGCTTCTGTAGAGGAACAAACAAACTGCATAACCATACAATTTCGGAGGTCTGCGCGGACTTCTTGGATCTACGCTGGACCCACCTCCCCGGCGCGGGAAGCGAGCCTGGGGCGGCGCCGGAGGCGCTGCCAGGGGGGCCCATCGCCGACCCAAGAAATCCGCGCGGAGCGCAGAACATGCTCCACCCTTCCCGCGCGTGATCTTCCCCGCGTGCTCCGCAATCTTACCTCGACCTCCTCCTCCTCCTCCTCCTCCTCCTCCTCCTCCTCCTCCTCCTCCTCCTCCTCCTCCTCCTCCTCCCCCTGCTGCTCCACAGCGTCCTCCGCCTCCTCCTCCTGCTCCTCCTCCCTCTCCTCCTCCTGCTCCTCCTCCTCCTCCTCCTCCTCGTCTTCAGGGTCGGCGGCACGGCCGTAAGGCCTTCACAATCTGTTTATGCAGTTCTTTCTCCTTCGACACTCGCCCCTTCGCCTCTGGCTCGTCCATGGGATAACCACCACTAGGTACAGACACCGCTGCTCCCCCAGCCTCTCCCGGAGTGCTTTCCGCCCAGAAGCTTGAGGCGAATTCGGCCGTGGCGACGGGGGCCTCCCAGGAGGCCCCCCAAGAGGCGAAAGCGAGGCAAGGGTAGCTGTATGGGTGCCTTCTCATCTTCGGAGTCCCTTCCCTTCTGCCTCGTCCACCCCTCCCGTCGTCGTCGTCCTCCTCCTTCTCCTCCTCCTCCTCTTCCTCCTCCTCCTCCTCGTCGTCGTCGTCGTCGTTGTCCTCGTCCTCGTCATCGTCGTCGTCGTCGTCGCCGTCGTCCTCGTCCTCGTCCTCGTCGTCGTCGTCGTCGTCGTCGTTGTCGCATTCGTATTCGTATTCGTCGTCGTCGGCGTCGTGCGCGCGGCGGGTCGGGCATTCGCATGTTGAGCTGCTTGCTGGGCAGGCTCGAGGCGCTCGGAGCGCTCTGTCGGAGGTGGGCGCTGCTGGTGCTCTGCTGGTGGTAGCCATCCTCGCGGGGCGACTACTCCTTTGCGACGCGGGGATTTATCCATGTCCGCCGCCTGGGAACCGACGGTTTGGTGCCTCAGCGGGCGGTGGGTATGGATATATTTTGCCCCCTGGAAGCCCGAATATATCCATATCCACTGCCTGTGTGGAGGTCCGCGAAGATCGATCCCCCAGGCGGTGGTTATGGATAAATCCCCGCCTCGGCTCTTTCCTCTTTCCTACCGACCTAAGACGAAGCCAAGACAAGCACAAAAGCGGGTGAGGCTAAATCGAGAATCTCTTAGATCCGACGGTTCTGAAGGATGTATCAAACGCCGCGACCTTCTCAGAGAGTTCCGGAACGCTCTGAGTGCGTTCCGGAACGCTCTGGAACGGATTTTCCCTCGTCATAGCCCCGCCTGGCCACCTCGATCTCCTGGGCATGCCTGTTCTTTGATCGGCGGCGAGCCCAGGGGGGAAATCAGAGGAGGCGGGTCTTCTCAGAAGGCTCGGAAGGCCTCCAGCCTTCTGAGACATGTTCTGAGCCTTCTCCGAAGACAGAGGCAGCTTCTCAGAAGGCCGGAGAGCCTCTGAGAAACCCCGCCGCCTTCTGAGAAGGCCTGCCCCCTCTCACTCCCCCGGGCGTGCCGCCGATCCTCAGAATGTCGCTTCTTTAAATAATACCTCGCAAAAAGGCCGCGCCACCTGATGGAACACTGAACACGGATACCACAACTAAAGGGAAAATGATCATCTGGCGGCAAGCTGTCAAAATTCTGAGGCATACAGTCAAAGCGCATAATCATAAGAAGGACGTGCGGTAACGATGCAAGGGCGTTAGAAGGCCATGTTCACGATTGTCGAACGGGGTTAGCCAGCGAAGATTGCCAAGGATGGGCCGACGGGGCAAGGAAGCACGGGCAAGTTTGGAAAATTGCTCATCCTTCCTGTGCGCTTTGACTGTAGCCAATACTGAATTTTGGTACCATCAACGCGGCAAGTGGCACCTGTATAAAGTACGAGTCGCAACGTACAACAATTGTTCGTACACTATGTGCTGTCTCCGATTCGCATGACATGGTTCTTTCGGGACGCGGTACGCCAACACCTAGTGTGCAATCCGAGGAGCCCCAGGGGTCCGCTACCGCGCTTGCAACGGCAGGCGTATGTAAACCTCTTTGCAGCCTTACAAGACGTTGCGTAGCATGATGCCTCTTAACTGTCTGGTGAGGCTTTCGTAGTTTTCTTGGAAGCGGCCCGGAGACGCCAGACGGCCCAAGAAGGCACATTCTCTAAGAGGGGCCAAGACCAGCCCACAGAGGCCCGACCGAAGAATTATCTTCACCATGGCACTTCAGGCATCTCCCAGCAGCCTCTGATGGCCCCCAAGACGGCATCAAGATCCCGAAAAGCTCCAACAGACCTTCGGTGCGCTCCAAAATTGGAGGCGGCCAGGGGGCCCGAACTCTGGGACCCCAGAAAATCAGTCGGGAGGGGGGATGGGGAGGGGGGGATGGAGCCAGATCCGCTCAAAATCGGTCCCCGGACTCCTCCCGAGAGCCATCCGGCACATTGTCCCACCGCGGGCCCGTCTTCGACGGTCTCAGGGCCCGAACACGGCCCCCGGAGGCCGAGAGGGGCCACAAGACGGATCCCGGGCCCAGCACCCCGAGCCTGCCCGCCCCTCCTGCTGGCCGGAGCCGGAGCGGGGCCACCTCCAAGCAGCTCCCAAAGCTCCCCGCCGAGGTGCTGTGGCGACAGCCACGCAGCGCCATGGCCCTGCCTCGCTGCAGCGGTGCAGAACTGCGACGCGCTCTGCCTGGGCGCAGGTGGCGGATACGCGCAGCACAGCCAGGTAAAACTGCGCGATGCAGGCGGGGCCGCTACCACGACCAAGACCACGCCGACCACGACGACGACGAGGACGACGAGGACGACGACAACGACGACGACGACGACAACGACGACGACGACAACGACGATGATGACGACAACGACGACGACGACGACGACGACGACGACGGCGACGACGACGACGACGACGACGACGACAACGACGCCATCGACCACGACCAAGACGACCACGACCACGACCAAAAACCGGCCGGGCCGGTACATTGCCGGCTTCTCATCCCCGCGCCTCCTTTTCCTATTCCAGCTGGCCGCTTCCATAAACGGGTGGAGCCTCATCTCAAGGAGAAAGGGCAACATGATGTGGAGGAGGGGGAAGCAGAGGAGAGCAATGCACATAGCCTCACTTAAGCAAACCCGCAGAGCCAGCAGACCATCACAGTGGACCAGCGACGATTTGCGTCTGTACACAAGTGGAGGCGGCTGGGGGGTCTGAACTGGTTGGAACTCTAGAAAATCGGTCATGCGGGGGGCTAGGCCGAATCCGCTCAAAATCGCCCCCCCCTCCCGGGGCCCAACTGGTGCATTCTTTTGCCACGGATCTGCTTCCGATGGTCCCAGGGCCCGAAAATGGCCCCCCGTGGCCGAAAAATCAAAAAACTTGCCAAATCCTCGGGCCTGCCCGCTCTTCCTGCTGGCCGGAACCAGTGCGTGGCCAGCTCCCCCCCAGACGGCCCCAATGCCCGACCACCCATCCAAGAGCGCGTCCCCCCCTTGGGTGGAAAGCAAATCCATCGGGTGTTGTTAGAGGTGCCCCTGGCCCAAGGTGTCCCCAGGATTTCCAAGGAGGCCTCAGGAAGCCTCCACGGCCTCCATCCAACGCACCCCTCACGAGGCGCAGGGGGTCCCAGGGGCTCCAACATGGAGCAAAAAGCTGGGGACACCTTGGGCCAGGGGCACCTTCAGCAACACCCGAATCCTCTGCCACGCAGCATCGGTTGGTCCGGCATGCCCCGGCAGAAAACACAAAGCGGCAGCCGCGCCTGCGACTCCTCGTCCATGGCGAACCGCTGCATCGCCTTGCGGAGTGGATGTGGCAGTTGATGATTTTCTGCGGTCTAAGTAACCACTGCCACTGTCGCAAGGCAGAGAGAAGACGGCGCAACACAGTTGAAGTAGATGAAGCGACTCTACAACCATACATCCAAGGATGATTCAGTCACACCTGCTAGCATCGAACGTGTTGGTTCGATGGCATGATCAACGAGAGGCCCCGATCAAATGGCACTCCCTGGCATGCAGGTTGTGGGCGAAGGCCTGGATCGATCACACGAAGGGCATAGGCAACGCGACGCACGCTTTTATCTCTCGGAAACCCATGTGTCCTCAAATCGCCGACTGCCACTGGCTTTTACCGTAGCCCCAGCACTGGTGAGGTGAGGATGCGAACGCGATTCGGCACGATGAAAAACCCGCCGACCCTTCGGCACGTGTGAGACGCTGCTCCGTTGAGTCGTCGTCGTCGTTGCGAACGCGAGCCGGCACGGTGAAACATCGGTCTGGGTTCCGCAGATCACGGAGCAGCCGCGCACTCGGCGCCCACGGCTCGAGCCTCGAGGTCCGGCCACGAGACACCCCGAGCGTCCTGGGAAGGCTCTCAAGAGCACGGGCCGCACATGTTGCGCGCTCTAGGATCCAACAGCCGCTTTGACTGCCCAATTCCGGCATATGACAGGCGGTATGCTCCGCCCCATGAGGCATACTGCACAGGCGCGCTGATGTCTTTGCACGTGCTGGGCGCTTGTGTCTGCTTTTGTTTGTCTGTTCTCTCTCTCTCTCTCTGTCGTTGCTTCTCCTCCCCAACTCCCGCTTTCCGTCAAGAGAAGTTTTCCGCAAATGTTCGGACATCGTGGCCGTCATCCTGCATCCTGCTCCGTCCTACCGCACCTCCCCTTCCTTCCCTCCCTGGTGGACTTGCTCCGAGAGATGTGCGGCATACGTGGGACCTCATCCTCACCCTTCTTCCGCGTCCCTCCTGCTGCTCCTCCTCCCTCCCCCCTCCGCCGTGGAGATTGTGGGCGTATGTTCGGCATCCGTTGGACCCAATGTTCCTCTCTCCTCCTCCCTAGCTCCCTCCAGGACGCTGTGCAGACATTTTCGGTGTGAGTCCCACGTCATGGTCCTCCCCTTCCTTCTCCCTCCCCCTTATCCCCCCCCCGCCCCTCTCGGTAGGTTTTCCGATGTTTCGCCATTTGGTGGACCTCCTCCTCCTCCTCCTCCTGCTCCCTCCTCCTGCTCCCGAAGTTGTCCCGACATGTTCTGGGGTGCTCGAGTTCAGCGGGTGTCCCCGAGCCCGTTCTTGAGAAATGCCTAGCAGTGCCAAGTAATGCCAAGCTACGCGAAGCACTATCAGAGAATGGATGGATTCGGTTTGTGTGTCGAGATTCGGTTTTCTGTTATGTATGGGGCCAAGGGGGCCAGGTGGACAGCGACGACGACGACGAGGGCGAAGAGGACGAGGGGAAGGAGGAAGAAGACGACGACGAGGGGGCGGAGGGCCAGCATCCCCATCCGTCCTATCGGCCCAAGCCAATAGCAAGGGCATAAAGAAGAAACGCATCGGAGTCACATTGGAGCAATAGTGACACAATCTTGGGGTCAGCTAGGGCTTGAAGGGCTCATCTTGGGGCAATCTCGAAAACGTCTCGGGTTCGTGGGGTCGTCCAAGAGCCACCTCGGAACAACATCGGGGTCACGTGGTAGCCTTGGTTCAGTCGGAAGACAATGGGTTCGTTTCGGTGTTCTCTTGGGGCCGCAGGGTCGGTCTGGGGTCATATTGGGGCCATTGCTTTGCAGGGGTGGGCATCTTGGGGCGACAGGGGTATTTTCGTGATCCTTTCAAAACCCTTTTGGGCCCATCTTGGAATCATATGTCCGTTACTGTCTCTCGTTGCTGTTGCTACCGATGTTGCTGTTGCTGCTGGCGTTGATGCTGCTGGTGCTGCCTGGGCTGCCCGTGGTGCTGGTGCTGGTGCTGTGTTAAATTACGGACCCTCTTGGAGCCATCTTGGGGCCCTCTTGGGGCCCTCCTGGGCCTCTTGGGACCCTGCGGGAGCCTTCTGAGGGCCCTTGAGAGGCCTCCGACCAAGAATTCAACGCACATTTAACACAAACCGCTTCCTTATTGTGGAGCGTCTTGTGTGAAATGTGTGCGAAAATGTTGGGCCCTCTTGAAGCTATCTTGGGGACCTTGGGGGCCCTTCTGGGCCCTCTTGGGGCCCTGCGGGAGCCTTCTGAGGGCCCTAAGAGGCCTCCAAGAGAGCCAATACTTCAACGCAAATTCAAGACAAACCGCCTCCTTATTGGAGAGCGTCTTGTATTAACTTGGTGTTGAATTTCGGATCCTCTTAGAAAAGCTCCAAGAAGGCCCACGAGAGACTCAAGAAGGCGCCAAAAGAGGTTTGTTAGCTTTCCCGCGGCGGGGTCACCATGTATCCACTGTTTGTACAAATGTTTCCTCTTTAGGGGCTCGGCTTGAGGTGCGGAGGGCCTTCAGGAAGGTTCCAACCTGAGGTATCTAAAGACTTCGCGTGAGCTTCGAGTGTGATTGCGCTGCTCCAAGAAAGCTCCGAGACGGCCCCAGAGCGCTCCAAAACGCTCTCAATGGCTTCAGGACGGCCAAAGAAACCCTGCAGACGCCCCCGCAGGGCTTCAAGAGGACCCCCCAGGAGCTGTCAGAGGCCAAAACCACACTTGTTAAAATATTTTTGAAGGATTTTGAAGTTCTCGCTTTTACGGGGCTCCAACGCTCCAAGACGGCCCAAGAAGCCACCAGGATCGCCCCAAGATGACCCAAGAGGCCCCCGAAGAGGGCCCCAAGACGACCCACGAGGGCACCAACACGACCCATGCGGCCCACAATGCGGCCCAAGAGGCCCCCAGGACGGCCCCAAGAGGGGACCCAGGGGGCCACCGGAACTCACGTTGCGAGATTTTGTCCATCAGGATCGCCTCTTGTGAAGCGGCGTGGGGGCATGCGGAGACCCTTCGCAAGTAGACGCGGCGCTGGGGTCACCATGTATCCGAACATTATTATGCGAATTCGCACATCTCTGAGACGATCGCGGAGCCTCTTGGGAGCCCTTTTGGGGGCCTTTTGGGGGCCTGGGGTTTCTTGGGGCTGATAGGGGCCTTGGGGGCCTGGGGTCTCTTGGGGCTGATAGGGGCCTCTTGGGCGCCTCCTGAGGTATGGTGAGACGGTGAGACTTATTGGGGTCTTCTCAGGGCGTCTTGGGGGGCCCTTTAGGCCTCTTGGGGGCCTGCTGGGGCCCGAGAAGACTCCAAGGAGGTCCCGAAAATCTCCGGGCCACCCAGAGATACTGCAAAACCATCTCCGGGTGACCGGGAGACCTCTCGGGGCTCTCTTATCCCACCTTCCACTACTTTTCTCGGCCTCCGGCCGAGGGTATCCAGGCCAGTAGCAGCCTGCCACCTACAACGACAACAAGGCGCCCGAGACGGCCCAAGAGGGCCCGAAGCCAGCCCCAAGAAGGGCCCAAGAGGGGAACACGAACCGAAAATCCGAGTCTTCCGCCCCAGGAGACTCCAAGAGGCCCCAAGAGACCCCAGGAGGCCCCAAGAGGCTCCCACGAGGCCTCAGAAGCCCCAAGGAGGCTCCCAAGACGCCCCAGAAGGCCGCAAAACGGCCCCCAAGACACCTCAAAATTGCCTACACGAGGCCAGAAAAAGGCCCCCGCGACATGCCAACGAACATATGTATGTCAACAGAGCTCGAAATAATTCATTAAACAAAATAGAACTACAAAAACAATACTGGACACACTTTATCAATTATTGAAGGGTATCCAGGCATGGTGGCGGGATGGGCCCAAGGCCATTCGATCCGCCGCCCACTGTCGATTCATCGCAGGGGTGCCTGGCGTGCCAAACTATATGGCTCTTGGTTTTGGTTCTTTTTCCCCAAAAAATCCCCCTGGGGCTTCGGCCCGTCCCGCCGGCCACCCGGAAGACCCGGTTGCCATCGCCAAAAACGACCGTTTCGCTCGGGACATCCTCAAACAATCGCGAAGATGGCCCAAGATGGCCTGCAAGATGCCTCCAAGACAGGCATGGCCTCCAAAACGAAGATTGCCCCAAGATTCATCCAAGACGGCCCAGGATGGACCCAATATGGTCTAAGGCGGCCCAAAAGGTCAGCAAGAGGCCTCCAAGACGGCCCAAGAGGCCTCCAAGAGTTCCTCCAGGAAGGCCCGACGAGGCCAAAATCCTTGATTTTCCTAAGTTTTTGGAAGGATTTTGGCATTTGCGCCTTTTCGGCTTTCCGACGGCCCGTAACGGCCCCAGAGGCCGCCAAGGTCGCCCCAAGATCGCCCAAGAGGCCTCCAAGATGACCCCATAACGGCCCAAGAGGCCCCCAAGACGGCCCCAAGAGGGCGCCAAGACGGCCCAAGAGGCCTCGAAGACGCTCAAGATGGCCTCTAAGACGGCCCTGGAGCACCCCAACAGGGCCCCAAGTCGGCCCAGAAAGGCCCCCGAAACGGCTTCCGACGGGCCAGGAGCCCACCAAGATGGCCGAAGGTGGCTCGCAGCTGGCTCAACACGGCCCAAGAGGCCTCCAAGAGGGCCTCCAGGAAGGCCAGAAAACGCCAAAAAGAGTGATTTCCGAAGGTTTTTCAAGGATTTTGACATTTGCTTCGTTTCGGCCTTCCGACGGCCCGGTACGGCCCAAGAGCTCCCAAAGATCGCCCAAGGATCGCCATGGAGGCCTCCAAGATGGCCCCAGAACGGCCCAAGAGGTGCCCAAGACGGCCCCAAGAGGCCCCCAAGACGGCCCAAGAGGCCTCCAAGACGTCCTCCAAGAAGGCCCGAAAGAGTCAAAATGGCCTCCAGGCGGCCAAGATGACCTTCAAGATCCCCGCGTGTTCCCCGAGGGCTTTCCAAACTGATTCGGGGAACACATGGTCCGATAGCTTGGCAGGTCTGGCCTCAACGTTCGGCCACATAGGCGCTCCCACAAAGGCAGGGGGCGGCGGTGATTCACTGTAGGCGTCTTCGATAA